TCAAGGCCTTTCGCCTCAACGTTGTGCATCTGTCCAAATTAGTTACCAGGGCAAAATATAGGACATACCTTTTGATGTGACCTGACTCTGCCCCTGTTTGATTGAAAAGCAAACTCAAATGAAAATCATAGTCAACAAAAATAAAGATCACCCAAATTCCCTATTCAGTTGCGCTTCATTGTAGTGGAATATCGTTAAATGACCAAAAGGGAACCAACGGCAGAGTATCGGCAGAATTTGACATCCGAGAGACTCTCCTAAAAACCTTATTTCTACCATTTAACATCATAATTCGTTCCAAAAGACCAAATCATACCGAAATGATGTACACATACCACAGCATTGGCACACACATGATGGGAAGAACTTTAAAAAGAAATGCTTGGTTCTCATGCATACTTATTGGCACCGCTCTTTACAACAGCTATATTTCGCCAACATAGTATCATTGCTGATGCATGTGATACATGCAAACGACGCAGACAATCATATTGCCCGACGGCTGAGCATAACGCTTGTGGTTGTGGCAGCTTTCCTGATAGAGCTGCTTGACGTCGCCTCTTACTGAGCAAATAGGCTTTTGTGTGTTAAATGCATGCTAGCTTTATGCATCGCATTATTGGAAGCCCGGCATAACGTCTACTAGCCAGGTCACCTTGACTCCACAACTGGTTTAGCGTAGCTAATGTGGAACGCTGCGTACCTAAAATTTTCCATGTTTTTATTCTTGGATCCTTCCCTAACGCTTCATATGCATCACGCACCACCAAAATGTGGCCAGCTATTCATACAAAATACCATATTACAACCCAGTTCAGAAAACATCTGCCTGATATCGTTCAAGAATCGTGGGGGCACACTTGCGTCGAACCAGCCGCGAGCCGAACTGACGTGCATCCAAAAATATTCCTTGCAGTCACCTCTGAGAAACGTTGGGGAAATCATATTTGGAAAGGCGACTATTAGTTTAGTTTTAGAAACTCAGTAAGTTTCACAGCTAGCTCTAACGATGTGGAGCGCGGCAAAAACAAGAACGCCGACGGTCAATGGAGCCTCCTTTCCCGATGAAATTCGTATCAGTACTTTTACAAGTAATGCGATGCCATCGTTTTTTTTCTTCAAAATGCTGCAAACTCCGTGAAAGGTATTCACGCCTAGGTTCTAAGACCAGGCCTATGCAGCTGGTGGTGGGATAAAGAGCGCGTGTCACAGTGAACCCGCTGGTGCTGAGCCGCGGTGTCTTTGTACGGATACGGGGGCTCTGCCAGTGCTTGAGACTGCTCCCTTCAAAAGCATAGAAAACCAATCTGTATGCTATTGGCATGGCAATAAACGAGTCAAAACTCCATTTTCCGTAGGCTAAAGGTAAGGAAAGAAGATACATGATATCCAGCTAAAAAAATCCAGCTAAAAAAAGATATCCAGATAAATAAAGATATCCAGCTAAAAAAAAGAAAAAAAAGACGAATCTTAAGTGCAGAAACTAGTGACAATATGGGTTCGTCCCAAACGAAAACTCAATCGCCCTTTTAAAATGTCCGATGATGCCAGCTACGGCTAGAAATATGCTGAAGAGGATGTTCCGTCTCGAGGCCGTGGGGGAGGGGCAGGAGGTGCGTGGTCCTTGAGAACGCTCAAACTAACCGACACGCTGGCGCAGACATATCGAACTAGATCAAATTTCCCACCCAATTGTCGGATGTCACACCATTACAAGCGCCCCCCCCCCCCCCTCCCCCTCCCATCGCCGCCAGCTAACAGCTGGTGGCTGACCGTCAACCCATGCGATGTTGCTCACTTACGAGTGGTTGTTGGGCTCTCGGGCGCATCCTTGGCCTTCGCTTCCTAGCGTTCTATCGCCATCACACACTTTGAAAAAGTCGCGTCTCCTCAGATCGAATAACAAACCACTCACTGGCCGTCACTCATCCGCACCCGCACAGAGCGGCTGTGGTGCCCCCTCCCACCCATCACCTGCAAGCTGTCTCCAGGCGGTCGGTGGGTGACCGCGCCCAGGCTGGAGTAGCATGACGGGCTTCCGCGGCCCCTGATGTTTATTAACGTGCATTAGCTGCGCTAGGAGTGCACACTGCAACCTGTCATTGTAAATGTCAAAGACCGAAGTTACAGTCATCGATAATACAAAGCAAAAACAGCATCTTACGGTGTTCAGACAACGGTGTATATATATATATATATATATATATATATATATATATATTATTCGTGTTGTACGTGTGCAATTTATTCTGAATGGCTTAGCTATATCAAAAGATTTTTCAGTTGCAGGCATTGCGAAAGAACCAGAAAACACCTCTGCCACAACAACAAACATGTATTAACATCGCCGGCCCGAACGTTAACAGTTAAGAACAGCCACACTTTTGATGGGTTCCGCCTCCCGTGTGCAACGCCATTCCTCAATTCGTGATTCCTGTTACCAACAGGAAATTTTTCAACGTAAGACATGCAACCAGTGTCAGCCAAAGTTCAGCACACACGAGCGAGCTGCTCGCGACGCTACACACCTAGGGCGGACATCGAGCCTGTCACGACACAACGTTTAACACTCGTTTTCAGACTTGGAGCTGATTAGGTACGACACCGCATTTGATTTCCGGAATGAACCAGGTCGTAGTAACACCAGTGAGCATGCGATACCCTTGAGCACTTGTCACCACGGTAGCGTTTTGGTCCTATGCGCAGCCTAATGTAATCAACAAGGGAACTCACGTTCAAGCGATGATGTATTTTCTTATTATGACAATGTTTACACCGTATAGATTCTAATGTTTGGATACTGGAGAGTCCTGAAACCTCAGACAAACTTGTAATATCTGTGTCTTTGTATCGGAGCACGATACCTGTTGTAACTTGAGCACTAAATCAACGCTGTTTCACTCATACTTGTCTCCTTAAAACTTCTAAAGATTTGTCCATTGCTGGCCATAGAGGCCTGATAAAGACAACCGTGCATGCAAACTTTTAGGACGCTCGAACATAGCCATTGTCGAATAACACCTACTGTTACACACTTCATAGGCGTGGGAGTGGCACGAAAAATTTGTCACTTGTCGATAGGTCCGTACTAGATCAGAAGACATGAGAGTAGCTCGGAAAATGAAGTCTGGGCGAAAACGGCACAAGATAGTTGTCGGGCGCCGGGTTGTTTGTCACGCACAAACGAGAGGTTCCACGCAAAAGTTCGTCAAAAACGGTATTTGGCAAATGCACGTGAGAATGGCGATGCAGAGAACTAGCGCCTAGGAACCAGTCTTCGGTTGCTCTTGCCCGTCTGGCACAGCAAACACATAGGTCAGCCCACCATTTCAAAATTGGTCTGGGATTAGGCGTTTACCCGTTGGGCTATTTTCTCGCGGTATATAAGTTGTTGTGAAAACTGCCTTCCATGACACGCAGCCCTGAAGCCGGGTGGGGAGACATCTGCCTGCGCGACTGGGATTCGAACCGGCCCACTGTGTGAAAGCCGACTGGGCTAACAAGCCACCCACCGCGCCCCTTATCACACACAGCACGTGGGCGAGCCCGATCTGGCTTGTTCGGCATGTGGGGCGAGCCCAGCCGGCCCTGTTTGACGCGGTACGGTACATCGCGCTGTTCCGTTCGGTGCAGCGCGTGCATCGGTGCGCCGCGTTACAACAAACAGCGCGCATGGAACGGTTACACACCGAGCAGCTTCGCCGGCGCAACGGCGATGGCGTGAGGCCTGCAGCTCGCCACATGGACCACATGGACGCGGGTACAGTGGAACAGTCGCGGCCACTGACAGAACAGGATTACTACGACGAGGGCGGCTCACGGCGCCAGCTCGCGACACCACGTACAGGACCACGTGCAGCCAACAGCAGGCTTTTGATGTGTTTGCTCCTTTAGGTGGCATGAGCTTTTCATGTACGCCAGACATCGAAGGGCACAGCACTCGTCAGCAAGCTCCTATCTACAGCACGGCGAGCCCGGTTCATCTAGTCAGCCTGGCGTCCACGCATTTATGGAGAGATGCTTGAACTACGCGGTATTTGTTATTACTCGGCCACCTTGGCCAACCAGCATCGGGTAATTATCATTATTGACGAGGTTTAACGACAAACACAACATCTCGAGCCAATTCATGCCGTGATGGCTCATGCAGATCGATGCAGAGGACGGCAAAACTTTTGGCGGAAGCCAGATGTGCACCTGGCCCGTGATCTACATACGGTCGCTGCTCCCACGCCCTCTCAACTGAGCTACACCGACCCCACGTGAAACGTCGAACAGACACACGCTAGTTGCGTGTGGATATGTGTGACGAAGAACATGTTTAACACGTAAGTGTGGTGGTGTGACGGAGAACATGCAAACGGTTGTCATATTGACATTGAGGCCCAGTAAGCAATAAGCGACACAGTGGGATTGAGTTTTCTCCACAAACCAGGAGGGCATGAAGCATGCATTGCTAACTGCGTCTTCTTCCACGATTTCATCTACATGGAGCAGCACACATTGCAGCGAACTAATGAACACGAACTACTGACGCCAACACTGGCCAATGCCAAGAGATCCATCAGTCGTCACGCATGGCCACACACGTCCTTCGTTCGTAAAATTATCCCGCCAATCGTTCGTCACACCACACTATCGACACGCTCGCAACCGTGCGCATTATATGATGGAAATGGCTCTCAAGACTCACAGCTCACCACAACCGTCTGTCGGCAGACATGTGCTCGCTCCACACAACCACCCCCTGCTGTCCTGGTACCAACCCCAACCAGTGCCTGTCGATGGACAGGTCCCGCACTCGAGAACCCTGCAAGCCGGATGCCCCTCCCCACCCCTTCCCGCACCACCGAACAGAGACTGTCGATAGATGGGTATCTCATTCAAGAGCCCCACAGACTGGGCGCCCCCCCCCCCTCCCCGCACGACACCTGCCCGCGGACAGTTGTCCCACTGGACAGACCCTGCAGTTCAGGCGCTGTCTTACGCGCGGCGTCTGCCCGTGGACGGGTGTCTCGCTTGAGAAGCCCAGCAGTCCTGACGCCCGCCCGCGGACAGGTATCTCACTCGAAAACACCAGCAGTCCAGGCGCCTGCCCGCGGACATGTGCCTCACTCGAGAGCCCCAGCAGTCCTGGCGCCCGCCCGCGGACAGGTGTCTCACTCGAGAACACTAGCAGTCCTGGCGCCCGCCCGTGGACGGGTGTCTCACTTGAGAAGCCCAGCAGTCCTGGCGCCCGCCCGCGGACAGGTGTCTCACTCGAGAAGCCCCAGCAGTCCAGGCGTCGTCCCCCGCACGACGCCTGGACTGGCTGCCGGTTGTTTTCCTCTCGCGATGGCACTCTGAGTGAGATCTCGAGACTCCGTTTGGAGTGGAGACTATCGATCGTCTTCCGCGCTGCTGGCTCCAGCCGCTCACGCCATCGCTGCTGCGCTGGAGACGGAAGGGTGACGGCGGTCAGGCCAGGTGCAGGACAGCTACCGAAAATCCGAGAGCAACGCTCATGGTGGTGCGCTTGCAAAATAGCGTGAGCTCCTGATTTGCAAAGAAAGCATCCTCCATTTAAAATAGACAGGGCGGAAGTTGCTGCACTGTATGTTGCTGTAACGAGCAATGTTAGAGAGCGCTATGGACACGCCTCGCACCGACATGACGGCAGTTCTAGGGCCCAAACAGACGCACAAGCATGAAACCCGCCCGACAGCGGCAAGTACGAGCAGATGACAGTAATGAACATTGCGTTCTGCACAGAGGCGCGAAGACCTGATGGGGCTAAAAGCTGTCTTCTTCCACGGCGCGGAATTCTAGTAAACAAGCGCGCCAACGTGCATAAAACGCTGGAGCTATGAAAGGGTTTTCAAATAGATTGCAGGTGAACTCATTCCCGAGCGAGTTGCATGTCATGTTGCATGAAACTACATGTCTGTGAAAGGTTGCGTTCAATGTGCGATCGGTCATGGCCTTATTTATGAATGGACGTGCGTACTCCCGTAAGCGCATTCAAATAAGTGCCGTAAGAGCACTGAACATATCGGAAAATATTTACTGTGATGTGGGTCGGACTTTTGCGAATTTGTTGCTTAATCGATGCGGTCGAGGAATGTTAACATTCCAAGCGTTCCACGGTGGACCTACAGCCGATTTAACGCAACCAAGACCGGACCATCGATTACTAAATGACAAGCCTTCTTGCGTAACGGACATTTGTGTGGCATTAAACGAACACAACCATGAAGCCAAAAACTCCATAACATCAGTCGAGACGGCAGCGATCTATGTCTCAGCAAAACGCCATGATTTTACGTCAAAGTGACATTTGGACTGTTTTAGTGCGCAAATGCAAACGCTGCAAGTAAATGCGACAGAAACGCGAGGACGTTCGCTAGGAATTTATCCAATGTCTAACTTTGCGATGGGCATCAGACAGTTTGGTGTTCCCAACACGCAAATCAATTTGCTTACTTCACACGAGACCCCGGGCTTTGTGAAACTTTGCAATAATTAGCATATCTTCGGCCCGAGCTCTTTCCGGTTCTTCTCCCTCACAACCAAGCCGTTACCGTGCTCCAAATTCCATCGCGAGTTGATCTGGATGTGTGGAGTGACACAGTCAGGCCGAGTAATGCAGTGAACATGAACGCGCAGTTCAGTAGGAAGAGCTGCTTTTCCACATCATTCCAGATTTGTAGTATCAGCCAGTATACGAGATTTTCCATCAATGCGACTAACTAGCTATATTATGCAGCAACGATGGCATATTTGGGCGACCAATTGACGTGATGGGATTTTTTCGTAAGAGCATGCGCTTAACGCTGTGTGGGAGCAACGAAGTCGTACATCTGGAATAGTTCCGGCGTCAAACACATTCATGCACGAACGCCGTAGGAGTCTGACACTCCTCCAGTGTGGTCAACCCTTCCGAAACGTGAGGATTACCTACCTCCAATGAATGTCTATCAAAAAGGGTTGAGCGGGGATAGGATGACTATCAAAGATCAGCTTTAGTTCGGGCAGCCTCGGTCCGTGCGACCGACAAAGGACGAGACAGTAGCACACTTGAAAGCACTGATCAGTGTGGGCAGGCACACGACCACGACTAACATCTAGGTGCGTTTCATTTTATCATACGTGAAGACCAACACATTTGCAGCAACATTTCGTGGCAGTGTTACCTCGCGAAAAACGAGCTTCTATGTGTGACTCAACGGAGGCGGTCGGATTTGGCTGCCGCGGATTTCCTGTTCATTGTGGATAATGCCCCAGGGCAGGCACCGAAGGTCGTTGCGGACTTTGTGCTAAAAGGAAAAGGAAATTCCCGTATCCCGTTCCCAAACTCCTTCCCAAGACCTGTCTCCCTCAGACTACCTATTCGTCAATTATGGGGTGCACTCTGTCTGAAACGCGCCGTCGCTCGAGAAAGCGTTCGGATACGCCGACGGGCGAAATCGGCGGCAAAAACATACCTCAAGCGAACGGCTCGGTAAGCGTTCACAGATTGCAATAAAGCGATAACGCTGGCTTTTATGTACGAGGAATGCGCTGAAAAATATTCAGGCTTGATACATGCGTTATACCTTATAAATTTGTACTGAAAAACAACACATGTCTTTGGGCTCCACCTCCAACTTTGATAGGAATGTTAATATGATTACTTGGGAAAACACCAACGCCGAAGGTATGCAGCGCTTGGACTTGAGGCGAACATGATGCAAACCCCTTCGCCACCAATCAACACGACGCTTGTAGGACTTGAAGCTTGCAGAACAAAACAGCAGAGAAACATGGAACAGTGTAGCAGAATGAGAGATTAAGAGTCCAGTTGTAGGGAACCCTGCCGGCGGTCTTACTTGGGCTGTCTCAGCGAAGCCAGCTGAGTCATGTTAGAGCTCTTGGACGCGTCGCGGCGCATGCCCAGGAGGTACTTCTGTCCGCACAGCGCCCGCTGGAAGCTGTCGCGGAAACTTCGGGACATAAAGCCGTACACCAGCGGGTTGATGCAGCTGAAAGCAACCGCGTGATGAGTATGAACGATACGCCGCGGTTTCATTAGTTATTTCCTGCTATAAAAAGATAAAATTTCTGAGACTAAGGCTAGTTGCGTTGGTCAAAATTGGATCATGTCCACATCCATGCACCGATGCACTACTCGATTTTTCACAAAGCCACGTTAAACAGTGTTTGCAAAAAACAAACTACCTTCAAGGCAGTGGGGGCGAGTCAGGAGAGGCGGACAGGCAGTCACAGATCCTTAATCAATTCTTCAGCGAGCATGAACGAGCAACGCTAACGCTGCGTTTGAACGCTCCCCAGCTCTCGAAATCCTGTGGCGATCGGCCGCCACCTCGTCAGAGCCTGACCCACGACCAGCTGAGTAATACGAATGTGCCCCTTCAATGGCCGGGAATAGCTTCCATAGCAAAAACCAGGTGCGTTCACCGAAGTTTCAACGCCTAGTAAGTGAGCCATCTGACACATTCTGTAGTTGCAGCTGTGTTGGGTAAGTAACACCATGAGGTTCTGTCGCATCAGTGAAGGCTTTCACGGCGATTTCTGCCTGCACATAAAGTGACTGGCCGAATTTGTCCCTAGTTTTCCATTGACTCGATGTAATTGGTAAATTGGTTTGGCTTTCAGCCAACAGGTTTGATTACACAAAACGAGGTTATGCCACATTACAAGAATTTGTGTCGGACCAGCGATTTGTGACGGCCATATGTAATAAATAAGTCAGCATAGCTCACGTATTTCCTTACCAATGGGTAATATAAAACTTGCGAGCCAGGTCAGAAGCTAGGCCCAATGAGGTGATATGGCCCTGAACTGTCATGGCCCTAACCAGACCTGATTTCATCTTCAGCCCTAGCACTTTTCATTACGCTATGATTCTGGAGGGCCACAAAACACGCTTTCGTTTGGTGATAGTTACCGAGCGGTACGACCAATTCTAGGCGCAGCAGATAACCCTAAATAGTTAAGATTTTGATAACTGTTTGGTTATTTTGCGTTGTGGATGACGTAGTCACGTCATAAATACCAACTCAACGACTCCTGTGATATTTATCAGGTCTTTCGTTCATGGCCCGAATGTTTCTGGCCTGACGATGAGATCCTTTTAGGTGCCAGCGAGAGGGAGGGGGGGGGGGGGGGGAGCTTTTGAACGCATGCGGTTGCGGGTGGCAAAATACCCCAAGTGGTGACGGGTTACTGTTCCTGAGATCTTGCACGTGTCCCCAGCCGAGGTGAGAGGTGCGGAACACAGCGGTCTGTCTTCAGCTGCCACTAGACGGCGCTTACCTGTTGGCGTAGGCCATCAGTTCAAACGACAGCTGCTACCAGACGGCGCTTACCTGTTGGCGTAAGCCATCAGTTCAAACGACAGCTGCAACCAGACGGCGCTTACCTGTTGGCGTAGGCCATCAGTTCAAACGACAGCTGCTACCAGACGGCGCTTACCTGTTGGCGTAGGCCATCAGTTCAAACGAGGTCCGGATGTGCTTGTAGGTCCCGGGCACGAACACCGGGAACGTTCCGAACGACTGCAGGGCGTTGAAGACCAGCAGCGGCGACCAGCAGACCAGGAAGAACACCACCACAGCTACCATCATCCGGATCAGCTGCGGCGCATCGGAGAACAGGGCCGTGATCGTGACCGTGGAGCAGGACCGACTGAAGCGTGCAGCTGCCTTAAGATATGCCCGCACCAGCCCACTCCTGTGAGCGTGGGAGCGTAACAGCCCTTATGAGCGTAGGAGCGTACCATCCCGCTCCTATTGGCCTAGGATGCGAACCAGCTCACTCATATGACAGAAGGAGCGTACCAGCCCGCGCCTATGCCAACGAACCTCGAAACTGCCCGTCCCATAGGTTCGTCAGCAATCGGCCGGAGAGGCCAGTGTCACCCATTCCAAAGCCGCTCCCGTGCTGTGTAAAGGGACGGAGGACATATCCGGATCACTAGAGCAAGACGAACTTATAACACAGACACACACACACACACACACACACACACACACACACACACACACACACACACACACACACACACACACACACACACACACACACACACACACACACACACACACACACACACACACACACACACACGCACACACACACACACACACACACACACACACACACACACACACACACACACACACACACACACATATATATATATATATATATATATATATATATATATATATATATATGTATGTATGTGTGAGTGGGTGGGTGGATGGGTGTGGGTGTGGGTGTGTGCGTGTGTGGGGGGGGGAGTGTGTGGGTGTGGGTGTGGGTGGGTGTGGATGTGTATAGATATGCATCTTCCACTCGAACAGTGATCAACTTCATCCTTTCCACTGCACGCGTGCAGCTTCGCTTCTTTACCTACATATACAACTTTGCCGAAGCAATGATGCCGGGGCACAACACTTCTACCGCTCGAGCACCAATCCTCTTGGGATCGCTCGGCCCTTGTTTTGAGTGCGGCAGACAACGCGTTCAACGCGACGGAGCAGACTTCCAGCGCGCTTTGGCAGCAGCGCCCGCGCTGTTGGGGTCAAAAGGAAAAATGACTGAAAATGCATGAAATCGGAGCCATTCCTGTACCTGCTGCAAAGTGGCCTGGTCTTCGACGCTCCGGCATCGCTGAACCGGCTCCTTCACGGTGTCGTCCAGTACTAGTGCGCGATCCTCTCCGAAACTTTTGCTGGAACAGATGAAAAGCGGCACACTTTAAATGGGTGCACAACATGAGACGAAATAAAAGTGCATGTAACAATACCTAAAGGCGGGAGGACGGTCGGCACCGTGATATTCACTTGGTGAAGTACAGCCATTAACCCTAAAGCACGAACTGCGTCGTTTT